GGAGGGACGAAGGGAGAGAGGGACAGAAGAGCAAAAGCGGAGGGAGAGAGGGAGCAGGAGATGGGACAAGGGGGGAGGAGGAGAGGGGTGGGTGGGAGGGAGGGAGGGAGAAAGAAGAGACAGGAGGAGGGGGAGAGATGGGAAGGGGGGGGGAGATGACGCAAACCCTGACAGATTTACAGACAGTCAACAGATATCGATGAGCAAATGGACGGACAGACAGGTGGATGGACAGACAAATGCACAGAGGGATAGATGGATGGAAAGATGAATGGACAAAGACATGGGTGGATGTCCAGATGGATTGCTCATTGATTGAATACGTAATAAATCGCTCAAGATGAGGATAAGAAATGGTAGTACAAAGAAAATGAAGAGTTACATAGCATGTTGACACAACTTCACACAAGCAACCATAATGGCCCAGCAGCCCTGGGCCCTTCGTCATCAGCTTTGTTCTTTTTCGTTGTTTTAACTTACCCCAATCCACGCCCCCCTCCTCTGTAATGCCCGGAATCCTAAACCGCTATTCCTAACTCCCCTTAACACCCAACCATATGCACACAGCCAACCGTGGAAAAAGGTCCCATACAACTCTGCAACAAAGGGCCGGTGGGTAACTTTGCTAAGATATACATGTATAGCAATAACTATACATTTGACTGAAAGGAGGTCCTAAAGAAGCTCGCATTTGACTTGGTCAACAATGGCGGCAAATCATACTGACTCAACAACTGCCGACTAATGGATGGCATGGCATAACCAACCCACTAGCAAGGACAATAACAGCAACAACAGCAGCGACAGCTGCCAGAGCAACCAGAACGAAAACCACATTAACACTGACAAGAGTAAACATAAGAAAACCATCAGCAAAATGAGAAGGCAAATAGCCCACAGAGGACTCCAGGCCCCTCCTGCAGCCTGCAATGGTGCAGAAAGCAGTCAACACAGCATCTCTCTGTAGTTCGTCTACCACTGACAAGTCCAACACACTAGTTCATTGAAACAGCTCTTCAAATCCTCCCTCCTCTGAAACATCCTCTAACCTTCCATCTGAGAAGCTGTAACTCCCTTCCGCTTCCACCTCTTTCTCTCGCCGTTCTCGTTGCCCCCTATCCATGACACCACCGTAAATTGTTGATGAAGTGGATGGCCTGCCTGTGTTGGCTCTGCTCAAACCTCTGTCGGTTCTGCTCACACCGCTCTGCCTCCGGTCCGTTGTTGCCTCACTCACCCTCCGATCGCTCATCACCTCCGTTTGCCTCCGCTCCACCACCGCATTGCTCTGCCTTCGGTCTGTCACTGCATTACTCTGCCTTCGGTCTGTCATTGTGTCACTCTGCGCCCAATCAGAGACTGTGCTGTTCTGTCTCCTGTCCAGCATGGCATCACTATACCTTTTGTCCGTCATCGCATCACTATATTTCCTGCCGCTGACGGCCTCACTATACCTCTGATCACTTACAGTGTCACTCCGCCGCCTGTCAGTAACGGCATCACTCTGCCTTCGACTGGCCATTGCGTCACTTTCCCTACGGTCAGTCAAGGCGTCACTCTGCCTACGGTCAGGCGTGGCATCAGCATAACTCCGGTCAGAGGTATTGGCAATGCTATACCTCTGGTCAATCACGACATCACTTTGCCTGTGGCCAGTCCTAGCATCACTTGGCCTCCTGTCACCCATGCCATCACTCTGCCTACGGTCGGTCACAGCATCACTCTGCCTCCGGTCAGGCATAGCATCAGTATACCTCCGGTCAGTCGTGGCAAAGCTATGCCTCTGGTCATTCACAAACTCACTTTGCCTCCGGCCGTTCATGGCATCACTCTGCCTACGGTCCATCACAGCATCATCACTATACCTCCCGGCAGTCATGGCGATGCTACCCCTCTGGTCGATCACAGGGTTGCTCTGCCTGTGGCCAGTCTTGGCATCACTTACTCTGCGGTCCGTCATGGTGTCACTCTCCCTTCGATCAGGTGCTCTGCTCGGCCTCCTCTCTGTAAATGAATCACTTGACCTTCTTTCAATTGTTGCACCGCTCAGCATCTCTGCGGGCATTTCGTCAATTTTCATCTCACACGTCGGTATGGTGGACCTACGCTGAACAGTTGCCGCAGCGCCTGGGCCCGATTCGCTAGGTGCAGTGCTGTCCTTTCTCCCCGTCGGCACTGAAGAGCTGATGCTTTGTTTTGAAGTTTTCCGACTTTGTCTACCATCTCCTTGACCACCTTCTTCCTGGTCACCATTGCCCTGCAACTGGCTCCGTGCCGATTGAGAGACTTCGGCATACTCAACGGCTGATCCTTTCCTGCTGGACATCTCACTTCGTCTCTGTGCCATAGAAGCTTTCCGTGATTGTGGCATCAAATCATCTATCAAAGAGTCTATTGACTGTGTGGTCATAGAGACCTGCCTCCCTGGAGATCCCCCTCCTGTGAGCATTGGGCCGCTCCCGTTGGATTCCATCAAATTCTTCAATCCTCCTGATGTCACCATGATGGACTTAGCCCTGGAGAACCGCAAAGCATTTGATCTACGCGAATGCCTGTCAGGACGGCCCTGTTCAACACCCAAGTTCTGAGATGGCCTACTTACAGCCGATGAAGTACTCTGTCTCTGTCCATTCTGAATCCAAGCATTTTCCCTCTTGCCACGTACATCTGAATCATCCTTGAACTCCTCCATATCCAGCATCTCATCTTCAGAGACTAGTCTGGATATTTCGTACTCAGTCTCATCTGCACCTGGCTTGCTTCGCTCCTGCTGCTGCTGATGCCACTCCTCTGGAGAAAGGGAGAGAGCACGATCGGGAATACTGGGCACTAACTCATTGATAAGGTCATCAATGATGGAATCCTCAGGCCATATCTCATGCTCATCTCTCTCGTCCATTCTCCTCTCATCGTCCTCTCTTTCCAATTCCCTTCTTCTATCTTCCTCTTGCTCCCCCAAATCTTCCCTGATGCTCGCGTAAGTAAACCGAGTCAGTTTACCTGTCCTTGGATCCAACCCCATTGAATTCTCGCTGTCATCAGCTGGCACTCTTCTTGACATGCGTGGGTCCAGTGCCTCTGTATGCCTTCGCCGTAGGATTTCCTTTGCAAATGTGACATTGGGGACACTCTTAAACGGACGCTCTCTACCTGCCATGGCTTTGCTGCGGTCATGAGCACTTCCCTGCTGCCCATAGATAGAAGCTCCAGTGCTCCCATTCTCAGGCTCATCCGCAAACGTGGACGGGTGGACAGACTGGGGTTCATTGCTCTGAGCTGCAGACAGCTGCCGCCCTATGCTGCTGCTCCGGGCACCACTCAATCGATGGCCACCTTGCGATGCAACAAATACACTTGGTGATCTTGAGTTCAGCAATCCGGATTGTGACCGTTTTGATCTTGCAGATGATCGGCGATCCACTTCTGTGTTCCCCAGGTTGATGCTGTTTGCAGCTCTCAATGGCCTCTCATCAATTCCGTCTCTGCCATCATCCTCAGTGTCGGACATCATGGAAGAACGCTGTATGGAACTCAGGGGGACCTCCGGTTCTTCATAAAGTGCAGAAGATGCTCTTTTTGCTGACGATTGTCTTTTCTTTTCTTGGCTTGAAGGCTGCCAGCTCGGGAGGTTTTGTGAAGGATATGCAGCAAGATCATGGCCGCCAGCACTTGGCAGCATTCCCGATGATATCATTTCTGACTTCGAGCGAAACAAAGGGGCCCCTCCTCCGCCCCTGAGATTTTGCCCTTGAGAGGCTGTGAATACAGACTGGCTCCGAGAGGCTGCCCGCTTCCCTGTTGGATCATCCAGGTATGCGACCTCATTGACGATGCCGGACAAGAGTCCGGTAGCCAGTGAAGATCTACTGCTGATTCTACCATCATGAGGGTCGTGAACCGAGTTACCATCAGCAATTTGCATTGAAGTTGAACCTCTCATTGGAAATGCCGGGACCTCACTGCTCCTCCTGTCCAGGGCAGCGTCTTCTGCGGTTGAATACACGGACCTCCGCCCACTGTCTGCTGATTCCTGAGCACCAGCTTGTGGCCCATCCTCTGCATCTGGATGCATAAGTTGAGAAGGCCGTAATAAGACGCCAGGGCTTATCGTCGACTTCCGTCTGTCATTCCGCTGACTTGCGAGCATGCTGGTCTGTCTGGAATGGACCTGATTGCCTATTCTTCCTTCCTCCCACACCAGATCTTCCTCAACCAAATCATATGGATCATCATCCCACTCAGGAATTCTTGCTAGTGACTGTCTCTCCAGATTCTCCCTCTTCGCCACAACTCCCTGGCTCTGCAAGCCATTACCGTCAGACTCCGTGTTCATTTGCAGTGCCAGACCTCCTCCTTGTAGCTGGGATGTCCGTTGGGAAGCCCTATTCGTCAGAGCCTGCAAAAGCTTAGTGCTCGACAACCTTGACATGCGTCCTCCAGCTCCTCCTCCCCCCACTGGCACAGAAAATGAACGTGATCCTACTCCCCTTTCTCCTGACGTAGTGAAATCATCAACAACACCTGGCCCCGTCAAGGCCTCCTCCATCACTTGGTCGCCGTTGACATCACTGGCTCCCCAATAGTCCCCTCCGTCTTCTGTCCTTGTCAGTCGAACGCGCCCATCTGCCACTTCTAAAGCAGCAACTGCCACAGTTTCAACAATAGATATCACCTGGGAAGAGACAGCAACAGCAACACCTTCAACCATCATCATCATCATCATCGTCATCATCATCATCATCATCACCAGCAGCAGGAGATATGGAAGCCATGGATGATCAGAGAGACAGAGTGTTTATCAAAGGCAGGCTATGGTTGGCATAAGATTATAGGAAAGAGCATGGAAGCCCTGAACAAGTCCTGGAGACAACACAGTCGGTGAGGGCATCTCGAGTTAGGATTATCAGACTCTGAGAGGCTGCCGTTGAGACAGCACACTCGGTGAGGTCATCTTAAGTCAGGATTATAAGACCATCAAGCCCAGACATCCGCGTGCAATCAACACAGATATGATGGCTTAAAGAGTTCTCTCCGGACCATACAAGATATAGTCCAAGTGTGAAGTCATCGTTTGTGGTGCTTTGATTTCCAAATTTTGCTCCAGACCTATCAACATAGCTGGAGATTCAAGGCAACCTCTCTCTCTCTCTCTCTCTCTCTCTCTCTCTCTCTCTCTCTCTCTCTCTCTCTCT